GACCCTCAGCTCTTCTTCCCCATCCCCACTTTCACTCCACAGCCGTGTATTATTTGGCTGAACAGAGAGTAGAGAGGTGATAGGGATAGAGAGATGATAGATGATAGAGAGATGACAGATGATAGAGAGATGACAGATGATAGATGATAGAGAGATGATAGATGATAGATGATAGAGGGATGACAGATGATAGAGAGATGACAGATGATAGAGAGGTGACAGATGATAGATGATAGAGAGATGATAGATGATAGAGAGATGACAGATGATAGATGATAGATGATAGAGAGATGACAGATGATAGATGATAGAGAGATGACAGATGATAGATGATAGAGAGATGACAGATGATAGAGAGATGACAGATGATAGATGATAGAGAGATGACAGATGATAGATGATAGATGATAGATGATAGATGACAGATGATAGAGAGATGATAGATGACAGATGATAGAGAGATGATAGATGATAGAGAGATGACAGATGATAGATGATATATGACAGATGATAGAGAGATGATAGATGATAGATGACAGATGATAGAGAGATGATAGATGACAGATGATAGATGATAGATGATGAACAGAGGTGATAGGTAGATAGATAGTACAGATAAATAGATGATAGATGGTATAGATAGATAAGTACATAGAAAGAAAGAAGGAGAGAGAGATAGATACATAGATCCTCTACTATCTCAAGAGACCCTTGAAGTCAGGGGTAATGTCAGGTTTATCTTTGTGGCCCCAACACTCTGCACGATGCCTAACATGCCCAGTTACTTAGTATTCCTTGAGCAGAGGCAAAATCAAGTAATCGTGGTCGTCTTGGGAAAATCATTTAGTCTTTAACCACCCAGTTTCCTTAGCTGTCTAATGAGGATGTTAAACGTTCCGAGCTCTCTGCATTCTAAGATCCCTTTCAAGTCTGAAACAAATTAGGGAACTGTAAACTCTTCTTTCTGGAGTATATCCCAAGCCAGAAAGACCCCTTTTCTGCCCTCGCCCACCAAGCAGGGATGCTCTTATAGCCACTTCGTGTGCAGTGTCCTGAGTGATCAGACCAGGGTGCTCGTCTTGACTAAGCTGGGCCACTTGGCATCTGCCTCCTGTAAACCCAGGGAGAGGGAGAGAGAAGGAGAGACAGAGGGAACCAGAGGCAGACCCCGTCCTCACCCTCAAAGGCGGCACTCAGGGTAGGCTTGGGTGCCGGGAGGTGGTCATCCTTCCCCACAATGTGGCCTGAAAACTCAGAGGCCCCATCTGCCAGCCAAGGCCAGAATGGGGCAGACACACCTGCCGGGAGAGCAAGGGCGGCGTGAGGGGAGCCCGCGCCCTCCCTTCGCTGCTGCCCGAGCCAACTGCATGCAGCCCAAAGGCATCCCCAGCTCCCGATTAAAGAGTTCTTTCAGGTTTGGTCATTTCCAGCCTAAAATGTCTCAGACTGCTATCAATCCCAATTGTACTATTTATTGTGTCAGCATTTATTAAATTAATTCACGACATAAGAAAGAGATATTAGATTGTTAAAGAGGTAATTAAATACCATGAATAGGATTTCCACATCTTTTCAATTGCAAGCTTTGACATTTACTTGGAGCTCATAATTGCAATAGGATCTTTGTTTGCTGCCAGCGCCTGTGTGTGCCCTCTGCTGTCTCCGCCTGTTCAAGCTGTAAGGCAGCGGGATGAACAGTGCCTCCCCAGAGCTTTGTAGAGATAATCCACTTCATCACCAAACACCAAAGTACTGATAATTAGAGCGAATAAATACATTCGGTGGTTCTTTGGCATCCATAAATAGAAGAGGATCCAAAACAAAATTATAAAGAAAGGCAATGCAGTAGAGACCTTGTTCTATATATCAGTGTGCTGGTAACATTACAGGTACACAGTACAAGGACCTATGATTTGCAAAGAGGTAAATGTTACATGTAAAGATAAAACATGCCTCAGAAAAATAAGTAGGTAATTATTCCTTCTCTGTATTGCACCAGTGACCTACCTGCTCGCACGCCTCCCAAGGCAGGAATCTCTAATCCCAAATGACGTGCCCTAGTGATTCAAGGTAAAGATTTCCCCAGCGTACCGTCCATCAACCTAAAGATGTTCAGAATATATTTTTCTGTTCTTTTGCAAAATTATGTATTTCCCTGCTCTGGCATAATACAAGATGCACAGCACAAAGAGAGAATTGTCAGAATATGAAAAACCACCCTCATTTCTGTCTAAAACATGTAGAGGATAGACGCTTAAAATCTGCAAAGAAAAAGAGTTCAAGTAAGTGTGCTTGAACTAGGGAAGATGATGACTAAACGCATAACTTTAATGGTGGGACTGAGACTAGTTTGAAATTTGCTGCACTCAGATCAGGAGATTGTCCTATGTCCTTGGCTTTGCGTGCAGTCACATATACTCAGTATTGAAATGGAGTGTCCAGAGTAGAAGTGACTGCCTCAGTCATTAATTTATTTGCCCAATCAATGATTAGTCACTGACCTCCAATTCTGTAACAGGCCTCGAGAGAGGGAACGGGGACACGGGTGGACAAGCTGATGACCCATGTCTTCATGGGGCTTGGTGACTGGAACAGGAAACAGGTAGTGTTCAAATCCCCGTAAGTACAAAGAGAGGTTTCGAAAGAAAAGGATAGTTAGAGAAGAGTGTGTTTCAGAAGCTTTCTACACGGTACGGAAAGGAGTATCCTGAAGTCCCTAGGGAGGAAATCATGCTTGAGTACATCTATCAGTTATGCATAGAAATTAGCTGGTGGGAAAGGGGTGTGTGGAGAGAGAATACTCCAGGAAAATACCAGATAACCACAGGTGCAAAAGCCCTGGGGCAGGAGGAGAGCCTGGGTGCCAGTGGCAGTAGGAGGTCATTGGTTTAAGCAGAATTTTTTTGATGATGTTCAAGGGCAGGGGTCCTGACAGCTTGGGGAATTTGTGAGAAAGTGTTAGAAGTGGTACAGTGGCTGCCCTCCAGATTAAACTATAAAAAGTATGGGAAATATTTTGTCAAATGTAAAGCTTCGTAGAAACGCTAAATCCTTCAACAAATACCTTCCATATGCCTCCCAATCTGATGGATTCTCAGGACATTAACAGCCAGGCCTGCCAATGCCCCCAGCTTATCTGCTGCAATGGCCCCCTGCCCACAGCTCTGCGAAGACTGGGACCGAATTCCTCCCCACACTCCCAGAGCGAGCGTTCCTAAAAGGAAAATCTCCCACCTCACTCTTCCGCTCAGAGTCCTTCAGTGGCCTCCCATCATGAGCAGAGTTACAAAGAATGAAACAGCTTTTAAGCTGACAGGCAAAGCCCGAGAGCAGTGTCACCCAATGGCATAGAATGAGTCGCCCATTAAGGAGCACCTTAATGTCCCCTACAAGACGCATTAACAGCAGAAACAGAAACAGGTGGAAAGAATTTTAATAATCTATTTTATTTAATATGTCCAAAATATAATTATTTCATTGTGTATTCAATCTAAAAATATTAATTAGATGTTTCACATTATATTTCATTTTAACTCTTCTAAATCCAGTGTGCATTTTACACCTACATAAAAAAAATAAAGAGCACCATCTTCACCGTAGCAGACGAATTGTTGTTCAGTTATGCATCAGCAATGTGGAAGGAAGTCAGGGGGTCATTTCTAGAAATAAAACGCTCCACCATCCGATATGATTAAAATGCTGGGGCTTCCCTGGTGGTGCGGTGGTTGAGTATCCTCCTGCCAATGCACGGGACACGGGTTCGAGCCCTGGTCCAGGAAGATCCCACGTGCCGCGGAGCAGCTAAGCCCATGTGCCACAACTACTGAGCCTGCACTCTAGAGCCCTTGAGCCACAACTACTGAGCCTGCGTGCTGCAACTACTGAAGCCCGTGTGCCTAGAGCCCGTGCTCCGCAACAAGAGAAGCCACCGCAGTGAGAAGCTGCTCACCGCAACTAAGAGTAGCCCCCTCTCGCTGCAACTAGAGAAAGCCCGCGTGCAGCAATGAAGACCCAACGCAGCCAAAAATAAAGTTTAAAAAAAAAAGAGGGCTTCCCTGGTGGCACAGTGGTTGAGAGTCCGCCTGCCAATGCAGGGAACGTGGGTTCGTGCCCCGGTCCGGGAAGATCCCACATGCCGCGGAGCGGCTGGGCCCGTGAGCCATGGCCGCTGAGCCTGCGCGTCCGGAGCCTGTGCTCCGCAACGGGAGAGACCACAGCAGCGAGAGGCCCGCGTACCAAAAAAAAAAAAAAAAAAAAAAAATGGAGCTAAGCTCTGGGCTCAGGTGGTTGTAAGAAGCCTTCCCATGTACAAAGGACTCAGGTGGTTGTAAGAAGCCTTCCCATGTACAAAGGACTCAGGCGTTCAGGCCAGGTGTTCACGTACTGGAAACTACTGCATCCTATTGGTTGTCCAGCTTACTTCCCCTTTCAATCTTGTAAAAAACACAACTTGCCGTCAAGTACCAAAATGCCCTGAAGGGGACAGTATAGCCTCAGCTAAGAAGCACTAATTTAGGTAAAATCATATATTCCTTTGAGTTGATGTCCCTGTGGGTGCATGTGTAGGCAAGACACCTCACTAGGGTCAGTGGTGTTGAAGGGACAATCTTTCTCACGATCACGTTATTCTCTGCCCAACCTGGGAAACCTCACAGAAAGCCTGTTCCTTCCTTATTCCTACTCAAATCCAGTCTGTCTGGGGGTGGGAGGGGGGCTGTTCAAGTCACATGCATTCCTAGAAGTCAGTCCTGGCTTTCTTTGGTCCAAAAGGTCCTTCTCCCCCTCTGCACTCTGGGAGTTCATGCTTTACATCCACTGTTTAACCTGCAACATCCATGTCTTCTTTGCCCAATCGTATTAGTCTTGGCTCTTCAGATAAAGTGTGAGCTTCTTGAGGATGACGACTGACTTTTTTCTGTCACCCACAAAGCCCTGAAGTATGATGACATGAAGGGGGGTTTGATATTTGTGACCATTGAATGCTTTTCTCTCCCGCACAGGTCGTGTGAGATCTGTATTTCTGGTTATCATCCGATAGAACACACGCCTTGTCAATGTCCATGTCCAGCAGATTTGAGAAAAGGAAATAAATGGCATCAGTTAAGAGGTAAGAAAGTCATGGAAACGCCCTTTAATTTTCAAATCAATAATAATGCAGCTCAGACATAGCAACAGATTTAAGAAGCAATTAGACTCAAATGCTGCAGGATGATTTATGTGCTTAATTAAAGGCTTATAAGAATTCATTAAGAAATTATATAAATTGTCTTTGTTCCTTACATCTGGATTATTTACACCTACAAACTCATATTTATGGAAGAAAATGAAGGCACTCTATCACATTTTTAACTACAGTCAAAATAGATTCTTGGAAGCCTGCTGATGTGAAAATTATACTTTATTTCTAAGTTAACTTTAGGAAATCGGCCACTTGTTTTCCATTTATGCATTACATTTTTACCAGAAATTTATTATGATGTCATAGTTTGGTTCTCAAAGGATGGAACCTTTGCTCACCAAAGGTGGTTGCTATAGATTAAATGTTTGTGTCCCTCCAAAATTCATACTTTGAATCCTAACCCCCAAGGTGATGGCATCAGCAGGTGGGGCCTTTGGGAGGTGACGAGGTCATGAGGTTGGAGACCCCCATAAATGGGATTAGTGCCCTTATAAAAGAGACCCCAGAGAGCTCCCTTGCCCCTTTCTCCACGTGAGGGCACAGCAAGAAGATGCTATTTATGAACCAGGAAGGGGACCTCACCAGGCACTGCATCTTCTGGGCCTTGGTCTTGACTTCCAGATGCCAGAACTGGGAGAACTAAATGCTGTTGTTCATAAACCACTCAGTCTCTAGTATTCTGTTAGAGCGGCCCAAAGTAAAACAGTGGTCAAGTATCACATTTAGTTTATTTTGTGAAAAAATAAATTTGACATTTTTGGATTGAAGTATAGTTGCTTTACAATACTATATTTGTTTCAGGTGTACAACATAGTGATTCAAAGTTTTTACAGGTTATACTCCATTTAAAGTAATCATCAAATATTGGTTATATTCTCTGTGCTGTACATATATATCCTTACAGCTTATTTATTTTATACATAGCAGTTTGTGTCTCCTAATCCCCTTCCCCTCTCTTTCCCTTCCCCCCTTCCCTCTCCCCACTGGTAACCCCTAGTTTGTTTTCTGCATCGATGAGTCTGCTTCTGTTTTATTATGTACATTCATTTGTTTTATTTTTTAGATTCCACATATAAGTGATAACATAAAATATTTGTCTTTCAAATAAAAGGACAGTCTTCTCTGACACTTAATGACATAAAAGGCTCTCAGCTGCCTCAAAAAGTCACTGTTTCTTTCTCAGTAAACAAACTGTTGTCCCATGGGTATGACGTTACTGAAACACTCGAGGAATGAAGTCTGGGTCTCTGCAGACCCTACAGCACTGGTGGGGAACAGTACGGTGTCCTGTACTTGAAACCAAGAAGGTAGATCTCAAGGTTAAAAAAAATAAAACCCCCAAACAAACAAAGCAACCAAAGGGGACACAAGAGATCTTTTGGAGGTGCTGGGTATGTGTACCATCTTGACTGCTGTGATGGGTGGTATCACAGGTGTTGGCATGTTTCCAGACTCATCAAAATGTATATATTGCATATGTGCAATTTTTTGTATATCTCAATAAAACTGAGAGGAAAAAAATAAAAAGCAAATGAAATTTACAATTGGATTTCTTCCTTTGACTCTTTAAAAATTATGGATCTCCTTTTCATTTTGAAATTAACAAAGAAGGGCATCCATTTAAATGGCATTTGTGTGTTTCACACTGTATCTCTGTACTTTTTTGCTAGTTGTACTCTATGCCTCTCACAGGTACACACACATAATCACCCACATAATCACCGTTAATGATTAGATTTATTAAATTTATTTTTCCTCCAGAAACCAATTAATGTCCTTGTGTTGATGGGAAATCACATTAACACCAGCTTAATTTTGCACATGTTCTGCAGTCCCACCTGTGTCATCCTGAGCCCAGCACAAGAGTTCTGTACGGAAAGCTAGTGTGAGATTACTCCACTCGGGGTTTTGCACAAATGGATTTTGAATGCTCCTGACCTGCACGGAATGTTCTGTAATTCTAAACTCCCTATCCAAATGCATTTTCTATTTAATACAGGCAAGGGTACCAGCATCAGATGTAAGGATCTAAAGACTGAAAGAAATGTATGGCTAGCTTGAAGCAGAGAAGAAGAGAGCATAGAAGCAGGTTTTGAAAAAATGCAGACGTGGAAGGAAAAGGAAGAAGATTAAGAAAAAAATGTATCCAAAAGATAATATACACATTGTGTGTGTGTGTGTGTGTGTGTGTGTTTCCAAAACCACAAAAGCAACGTTTGCATTTTCCTATTAGTAAACACGAATACACCTCCAGGTAATTTTAATTTCCACTGAAAAATAAAATGTGAAACAATGCATAATACAGCAAAGAAATGGAAAATCAGTCTACCTTTTACAAATCAAAAATTCTGTCTTCCTTCAGAAGCTGAGGCATGTGAACAGGGGAGACAACGGGCACCAGCTTAGTCCTCCTGGACTGAAGCTCTGACCTTGGAAATATAGGTGGAAGATGTCTGGTCACTGAAATAATTGAATTATTCAAGCCTCATAGTAAAACCAGGCTGAGATTAAAAGAATTAATCTCCTTTTTGGTTCCGTGGATCTTACGCAATTACTAGGGTTTTAGGCATGTGTGGACAATAGGCCAGTAGGTTTCCATGTGCGCCTTCTGTTCACACTGTGAAAGCAGGTCAGGGTTGACCCCACCCACCCGCGAAGCCATGTTCAAATGTTCCTGGACTGGGCCGTGGTCCCGGCTCAGTTGTTAGTTACTGGTTTCATTTTAAACATGATTTCATGAGGGTGTGTTGATATCTAGACTAGGGCGTTTCCGGTCAAGTGGGAAGCAATGTAGCCGTGGCTTCAGATTCTATTTCCAGAAGAGGCATGTGGCCTTGACAAGAAGGGGCCCTTGAAGAGGGCCCTCAAGGGCAACACCGTTCCAGACCTGCAGGCTCAGCAGCCGGGCTGGGGCCAGGAATTCGGTGTACAAGCGTCCAGGTGACGTCATGCACCCTGAATCGGAGAGCCACCACTCGAAGCGGACTTCCCCAGCGCCAGGACCCCAAACACCTGCTTTGGTCCTCAAGGCCCCTCCCAGGAGACCTGCCTCTAGAGCTGGTTCTGACTCACCCCTCCGTCCCTCCATCACAAGGGCTTTGCCGAGGAGAAAGCCCACCCACCTGGCTCACACAGAGGCCGAGCCTGCAGTCATGCGCTGAAGACTCAGAGCTGACAAGGAGAGTGCGGGGCTGGGGCAGTGAATAATCACACCTTCAGACACGCTGGGAAGCTGCCCGCGCCCCCTGCAGGAAGAGCAGGTTGTGCCTAGTTCCTTAATACTGACCTCAAATACGTGAGGAATGCAAGATTCCATATATATGCTAATGAGTTCAAGTGTGAGCCTTTTTAACCACGGGCGTTTACTTAGAAATTGCTCCTGTCTCACAAAGATGGCTCTTAACTCACGTGCTAGGACGTTTATTCTTTTATATTTTAACAATGGAACACATGCCTGGTATATCAGACGTCAACAGCCAAAGCTGTGTCCCAGTTTTATGATGATGATTTCACTGGTCCTCCACGATTGCTCTGTCAGCTCCCTGCTCCCCAGGGGGAGACGAGACCACAGGAGGGACATGAATCCCCCTTCCCGAGGGGAGCATGACGCTTCTTACCATGGGATATGAGCTCAGCTTGTCTGGGGTGTAGCAGTCCCAGAAAAGCTCTGAGTAAAACACTACTGACCTTTTAAGGATTTGCAAACGAAATGGCCCAAAGCAAGAATGCATTATAAAACAGAGCTTTCAAAAACACTCTATTTTCTCAATAGATAAGCTATATTTATTCTTCCTTACGGATTTGCCATTTGAGAGAACATGCAGTTCATCATTTCAATGCATCATCCTCATACTTCTCCCAACTGCTTACAGTTATGACGCTGCATATGTGTTATTCCACATAACACCACTTCATCACTTTGTGGGTAAAAGCCTACAGATTGGATGTTTAAAACGAGATTATTGTCAATGAGAAGGACAGCTGCATGGGAAGAAGGGAAGAGCGTCTACCAGCTGGCAGCCGGGGCCCCAGCACAGACCTGCACACACACAGCTGCAGAGGCCCCGCTTGTGTCACTCCTGAGTTTATCAAGGTCATCTTCTTTAGGGCTGCCTGGGGTTCCTCGGGGTGGTGTGGGCTTCATGACACGCAGCAAGGAACAACGGGACATCGGGAGTGGGGACATGGGCCTGCTGTCACAGGGCTTCTGAGGAACTATAGACATATTCAAGAAAAACTACAAAAATCTTTTCAAGGCCAAAACAGCACCAGATCTCATTAGCAAAATTAGACATTTTGGGTTTTCTTTTATTATTCAGAATCTGCAGTATACTCACATATGCTGTGAATGTCCAAAAAAGAGATGCAAGCTGACCTGCTTTCCAAAGTAATTTTACTGCCAAAACCCAGTTGTCGCAAACCTTCCTATGGAAGCATCTCCAAAACAAGCACGTGCAACAGTCACCCTTCACGTTTGTACGAGCTTCCAGTGCATCGTGCTCTGTGTTTCCTGGTTTATTATTTTCACTGGATTCTCACAACCGTCATACAGATGCTCTTGTTCTCCGCATCACAGAGGGTAAACTGAGGTTTAGGTGGAAGTAACTGACTGCCACAGGACTGCCAGCAGCAGGGCCGGGTCCCAGCCGGGTCCCTTGATCTCTTTCCGGCCAACGACACTGTGTATCTGCACTTGGTCCCAAAGCCGGGGAGAGAGAGGTGACATGTATCTACCCCAGCTCCCCCGTGACGCTGCGGGGGGAGAAGCAGCTGTGCACACAGAAGACGCTTCAGTCCTGAGCTCAAGGGACGTCCAAGATCAGGTTAGAAAGGAAACTTACGGCAAAAAGATTTTACGTCAGTGTCTTGATCTTTGTCTTTCAGGACAAGGTTCAAGTCAAACAAATAGAATACACTCTGGGCTGAGCCC